CCTTAATGTTATATATCTGAGAAGGAACAAAGATGTGTCTGTCTTAAATTCAAGTTTTCTGATTTTGTGGTCTTCTCAACAAAAGAGGCTGGTTGGTAAATGAAGGGTGGAGCCCATGTGTCTGGGTGTTTTTTTTTTTTTTTCTTTTGTTTGTGATACACTGAAGCCCTGTTTCAGGCTAAATGACTGGAATGTGTCTGAAGGATCATCCAGAAGCAAACTTCCCCTCATTCTTCAGGATGTCTGGGTAAAGAGATTATCTTGAACTAAGTGTAGAAATAAGAGTGACGACAGGCTGTCTAAAAGGCAAAGTCAGAAATATCTGAGGCAGTAGCCTCCTTGAATGGATGAGATTGAACACTCTAGGTATGATAGATATAATTAGAAGTGTACAAATATTATATAGCTTTTATCTTCCTTTAAAAAAATAAAGAATGTTTGTCCCAGTTTTGTCATTTATAAAGTATTTTCACAATTATTGTCTCAAGGAAGTTTTATAGAGGAAACTGAGGCTTAAAGAAGTTAAATAATTCATTAAAGTATATATGGTGAATGAGAAATAGAGCCAGGTCCTCAAAATGGAGTCCTTTTCCTACAATACTTATGTTATATTCACTTCACTTCACTCTGTCGACCTCTAAAAACTGTTACCTGTATTTTTAGTAGCTGACTAATTTTGCAGATATAAATTGTTTATTGAGAGACTGAATGGATGGGGCAATATTTTCAAAGGTATGGTCTAAAATGAAAAAAAAATCTTTGTATTTACTGAGTAAAGTAAAAGTGACCATCGGAGAGCTTGGAATAACTTCGTTTTGGGTTCTCTTGGATTTCAGCATAAATTTTTTAAAAAAATGTCAAATTTATGTAAGACTGAGCTATAATGGGCTATTTATGAAATTAAAATTTTTGTACACAATCCTAACTTTTGAAATTAACAAAAAAGAATGTAATCAATGAAAAACATCACTTGGCATAAGTGAGATATAAGTGGATAGAACTGTCCACCTAAATAAGACTCCACCTAGTTACTCATTGCCCATTTTACATATTCAGCATAAGAATTTGTATTTACTGAGTTTACTATAGTAATGTTTACTATAGTGATATATAAATGTATAAGTTTGAATTTGGGAGTGTGAGAGTGTTTCTTCTTTATTAGAGGGTTCATATAAAAGCTTCAGTCTGGTGTTTCAAAGTGAGTAGAAGAACCCCCCTGGCTGAGTGGACAGTGAAAGAGGCAGTAAGGGCCCTTCAGTGGCAATAAATTGTAGAAAAGCATAAAAATGTAAAATGAGAAATGGGAAACCACAAGTCACTAGGTGTTACTGGCTTGTAGGCTGTGTAGAGCTAGATGACAGGTTGTAGAGAAGGAGCTGGAAGTGGATAAAACTAGTGAAAATGGCATATTAATTCAGGTCTTAGAGGATCTTAAATGATAGGATTGATGATTTAAGTATTTTTCTTTTGTTTAGTTGCTAAATTACCAGATTACTCATCCAAATCCTCCCAATATTCTTGCTCCACTAATTCCTACTGTAAATTCTCTTTTACTCCCTTCCACTAGTAACTTCTATTTATTTTGAAAGCATCTTCATAGGCAATCCATTTTTTTTTTAAACTGGGTGAGTTAGTCAGAGATAATATCACCAACAACTTTTGTATGTTCTCATAATATCAATGTTACTATGATGACTTGGTGCTACATCCTTCTTTAACTAGATTGCCAAGAGATTTTAATCACTTTCCCAAAATGTTTCTCTTACATAATCCTGAAAATTTAGATCTGCATTTTCTCATATGGCCAATCAGAAGCTTATGTGAAAAAGATCCAGAATTCAAGGATTGATTAATTTTGTAGATGTTTATTTATCTCTTTATCAAATATTTATTTATGGTGTCTAAGATGTAAGGAACTTGAATTGTCTATGAAGGAATGACTTCGGGTAGGTGTTAAACCCATGTAGCACTAAATGTGTAAGGAAAAACTCCATGTTCAAAAAAGAATGTTTTAAAACTTTAGCTCTGCCCTGGGCAGCCTTTCTTCATTAATTTATTCAGCTATCTTAATCTCATTCTGTCCCATGCTGTCCAGACAGCCCATCTACTTCTCAATATCATCAAGTTCTTTCTTATTTTTGATGTCCTATTCTATCTGTGTTCTCTTGTGAGATGAAGGCTTGATTGTACTTTGGAGAATCTTCTCCATTTTGCCAGTGGCTACATTTGTAATCCTTTTGTTCTTATCTCACCTAACCACTGTTTAATACACTCCAGCATTTTAATTCTAGGGATTCTGGCACTAGTTTTTCCTCTCTAGAGAATCTTCTAAGACTCTCATTGAAACAGGACCATCTAGTCAGGAAAGCTTCCTGCCAATGGCCCGGAGTAGAGCAGCCTTGACCTCTTTGTTCCTTAGGGTGTACACCACAGGGTTCAGTAGTGGGGTAATGACAGTGTAGGTCACTGAGATCAGCTGATTCTGATCCTTGATGTTCTCTGACTTGGGCTTGAGGTAGGCAATGGAGGCACAGCCATAGTGAATAATGACCACAGTGATATGAGAAGCACAGGTAGCAAAGGTCTTCTTCCGGCCCTCAGCTGAGGCAATCTTGAAGATAGTGGAGGTAATGAGAATGTAGGAAATGAAAATCAATCCCATGGGAACCAGGATCACCAGCACACTGATGATCAAAGTCAGGATCTCATTGATAGTTATGTCAATACAGGAGAGTTTCATCACAGGTCGAATGTCACAGAAGAAGTGGGCCACCTTTGAGGTACAGAAGGGCAACCTAAATACAGCTGACACTTGTGTCATGGCTACAATTAGGCCAATGCTGCAGGCCCCCCACACCAACTGGATACACACCCTCTTGTTCATGATGACAGAGTACCTTAAGGGATTGCAAATAGCCACATAACGGTCATACCCCATCACTGTGAGCAGGAAGCAGTTGTTTATAGCCAAAGAGGTGAAGAAGAACATCTGAGTGGCACAGCCAGCCAAAGAGATGGACTGACTAAGGCCTATGAGGTTACAGAGCATCCTGGGTATAATGACAAGTGTATACACAGTCTCTGAAGCTGACAGCATGCTGAGGAAGAAGTACATGGGAGTGTGGAGGTGACGATCAAGGCTAATGATGATCACAATAATGATATTGCCTGCCAAAGTTAATATGTACAGTGTAAGAAATACAATATAGAGGGTGAGCTGGTGCTCATGGAAGCTGGAGAAACCCTGGAAAGTAAACTCACTCACCAAAGTGTGATTCTCTTTCTTCATTAAATCATACATAGTATCTAAGAAAGAAAAATTATACAAGGAAACTACATGGATGATTTTTGTTAAATAGCAAGCTGGGAAAATTCTTTTGGTTAATCTACCTTGATCTTTTCTTATTTATATTCACATTCATGGTTACTTCTTTTGGGAATAGAGAGTGGAGAAACATTCTCACTCAGAAAGTACATGGTTTTTAGAGTCAATGGTTATAAACCCATATTCTGGTTCTATCACATGCTAACTTATCTGAGACAAGGAATTAACATCTGAGACCAATTTCCTCATCTTGGATGATGGAACAATATCATAGAACTGTTGATAGAAACATTCTAAACTGAAATATAACATACTTCACATTAGAATTTTTAAAAATTATTGAATATGTTCAAGTTCAGTGTGTCATGCAGAGCTCTAGGCTCTGTAGCTACCCACTAATTCCTGTGCTTCTAAGGTTCAGGTAGAGGTCTTGTCATTATTGTTTACACATTGCATTCTCAACTCTGATGGTACTGCTCCTCTCAATTTCTGTCCTATAATCTTCTTTCCTAATACCACTAATTTTTCAAAGCTACACAAAGCCCATGACCTCTGTAAAATTATTTCTTCTGTATCTCTCTCTCTCTCACTCTTTATCTCCCCACCCCAACATGTCCTTGTACATGTAGGTAATGTAGGTAGCATAAAACCATTTACTGACTCTTTTGTATTGAAAGTAACTTATAGTGTATTTATGATTACAAAACATGCTCATATAAATTATTTAATTTTTATTATCATCAAATGGAGCAGGAAGGACAAGGGTTACTGTTTCTCTTCAGATGCAGAATCTGAGGATCAGCTCTGTTTAGGGCACACAGATATTGAAGGGCAAAAATCATGCATGACTTGAATCCATGTCTTCTGATCCTGATTTCATTATTACTCTAACTACATAAAACTACATTATAGAACTGCCCCCACCATGACTAGATTGTAGAGTCTTTGAAAATAGGGACTATGTATTCCAACTCTTTATGACCCCAGTGTGACAAATATAAGGCACAAATATCTGCTAGTAGAATCATTACAGGTCATTGCTCCATCAAATTGCTCACTAGGAAACAGGGTTCTGGAGCACCACAGTGAGGTGTTTTGTTTTGTTTTGTTTTGTTTGTTTGTTTGTTTGTTTGTTTTAAGAGAAACCATAAATGTTTTTAACCTTCATCTCCTTTTTCCAGCTGTCTGTGCCTGTGACAGAAACAAACAACTAAAAAATTGAGCTAAATTTTAACATTGGAATTATAACACTAGAAAAAACATGACACTATTAACATCTAATTGGAAAATATACTGGTAGTCCAATTTTTCTAGTAGCCTTTACTCTACTAGTAGTAACAGGTTACTTAAAAAAAAAATTAATTCAATAATAGAATAGGTGGAGTTGCCAAAAAAGTATATTTTGCTAAAAATAAAGCAAATTAGCCACATTACAAAATGATTTACTATTGGATAAATTTCAAAGGTAAGCTTTTTCAGTCCTTTTAAAATTAAATTTATCTATTTTCAGAAATAAACAATGTTTAATAAAGTAAATCTACAAAATGTTTCACAGTGATTATATAGAGGATTACTGCACAGCTATGCTTTAATTCCTCAGAGCATCATATAAAAGGAAATGGTATGAGGTTACAAAAAAACAAATTTTATGTTAGTTGTCAGGGACCATTTCTAGACAGGGAAAGCTGTTTGGCCTTGATGTGTATTCCATTGTGAATCACTGTAAACATTCTCCATGAGGCTTTATAAACAGTTTCTCAGTAGATTATGATTTGCCTGAGGACAATAATATAGACAAGGAAGCATAGCTGATAAGTGGCACAGCCACATTCTTTACCATATTAGTCAAAATCCTCTTTAATACTGGGAAGTCATGATTTCTTAGGATTAGCAGGGGATCTTTGAAAGTGGCACATCAAGGAAAAGAGAAACAAATATTTATAGACACTAGAACCCTTTCTAGCTTAAAATAATTTGACCCTTAACAACAATAAAACCCATACATGTATTTTATTCCTCCTATGGCTCCCTGCATAAATCATTGAAGTCTTCTTCCAAAACTCACTTTTCATCCTGAAAATCTGTGGTTCAATAGAAGAATGTAGATAGAGGTCAGAGATTGTAGCCCATTGGTCACAAGTATTCGCAAATCAAGGTCATGAAGAGAGGCATCTGAATGCGGTCTTTCACCTGTCTCAGGGCCAGTCAAGGGATGGAAGCAGAAGAAAAGTTAGAGGATTCTAGATATTCCTTCCAGCTGGAGAAAGAGTTTTCGATACCAAAGAAAGGCTCTCTGAGGATCATCTCTCAAGATTTCTTGGTGCCATTCCCTAAGCACCCTTAAAAGTCACCTTGGGGCTAGAAGGAAGCAGAGAGCCAGTGCCAGGGGACCTCGTTATGAGTAGAGCACATTTACGAGATTACGTGGGCTTGTGCTTTGGGATTCCTGTGGCATTTTTCACTGCAAGTAGAAACAGGAGTGGCTTCTTTGTCAGGTTTTATTTTTTAAATAAATATTCTGTTTCTGTACAGTTGGACCTTGTAAAACCATGGTTACAAAGTCCATGTGAGCTCTAGCTAAGGGCCACTGTCTCAGATCCCAGGAAATTCTGCAGCTCTTCCTGTAGTCAAGAACCCAACTCAGCATCAAATGCTGTTTTTTCTTCTTTTCTAGAACTAAGCTAGTTAAATCTGGCTACAGTTTTTGTCCTATGAGATTCAGAAATGGGAAATCAAAAGATCAACTGTCAATAGAGACCTCTCTAGAAGGCCGGAAGACCAAACAAATCTAAGCCAGGATTTCATCCTGAAGGACCATCAGATAAATGATTAAACACTCTGGGGTTCATGAGCCCAATCAGGGGTTCTCTCCACACTTGTTTTCCTGTTACAACCTCAGACGTTTTTTTTTCCTAAGAGTATCTTAATCTATTTTCTATTTTCTTGTACATTGTTAAAATATAAACTGAGGCAAATTAAAATTTTTAAGTTTATTTGAACAAAAATCAATTTAAATCAGGCAGTGCCAAACCAGAAGAGGTTAGGAGCTTCCTTGACAGGAACTCATAAAGAGACTCTCATAGTGAAAAAGAGAGCAAAGTAAAGAAAGTACTGATTCAAGCTACAGCTTAAAGCTTAGTTGGTTGTTTGTGATGGATTGTCCTTAGCGTTTTGACTTTGTAACCTTGAAGCCTTTACGGTCTTAGGTTTGGGTTTGCTCATGTAGCCACCATGACATTAGAGCTACCACACTGCAATGGTTTGCTTGTTTAATTAACTTAACAACATGTACCATTATCCATCTCATTGCCAAATCCTGACAATTCTCCTTTAAGTTAGGTTTTTCACTCTTGGCAAAAGGTGGAAGTGCTTGCATTTATATTTTGATAAACTTAATGACTCTTTACTTGTTTTTCATATATATATATATATATTTCTTCTTTCTTCTCTACTAAATTCAAAGTAATAAGAAAAGTTTATAGCAAATATAAATGAGGTAATACTATTTGCTCCTATCCTTATCAATTTCAAAGACATAAGAAGAGGAACTACCAGCCAAATTAGTTTCTTAAAAAACTCAAAAATTTAATTAAATTATTATTAATAAAGATAGCATCTCAACTTTTTTTCCTTGTTGTTTAGACCTAAGTATTACCTTCATATGTATTGTAGCCTTCAGGTTTTGGAGTCAAAGTATGATAGGGTAGTTTCTCATTTTTTGAGTCATCCTTCTGGTTAAACCTGTGTTTTTCTTTCCCTGCTCTAGTGAGGGAAGAGCTAAATTGTCACCCTAGTTATCACTGGAAACACAAATCATCTTTGCAGTCTAAAGAGGCTCCCTCTCCCAATGCAAAATTCATAAAAAGTCTCTTCACCCCAGACAATCAGGACAACTCTGTCAACACATAAACACAGCAGGAGAAACTTCACACTGTAACAATCTGAGCTCTGTGTCCAAACCTAGGAGGCCATGTTGAAAGAGGATGCACTAGTAACCTTATTTTCTAATAGATGGAGAGTCTTTATATGTTTTAAGGGTTGAAAAAGGAAATCCAGCAGAATCTTAGGTTTATGAATAATCAGAAAGAAAAGGTGGACAGTGGTTAGGGGTCTTTTAGGAGGTTGATGGCCAGACAACTTCTGACTCCTGGTTAGCAAGTTTCTCAAGATACAGCTGTGTAAGCAAGTATAAGGGCCAAGTTCTAGGATGTGCTGTGTCCCTGGGAATTGTGTTGGTGCCCTTACCTCAGCCTAACATTGAGTAGGTAGAATTGTCCACCTGCATAACTATAGCTGTTCATATTAATAGTTCCTTGAACTGCAACTTAGACATTTCAGTTTGTAGCATAACGAACCACCCCAAACTTAGTGGCATAAAGCAACAATAACTCATCATTTATCTCTGTTATTTCAATTATTTCATCATTCATTTAGTTAGGCCATTCCCATGCAAGACTCTCATATAATTGTGGCCAGACTCACGTGCCAGTCAGTTTATATTGGCTGTCTACTGTTGACTAAAATACCTACACATAGCCTCTGTAAGTGGTCTAGGCTTTTTCTCAGCCTAATGCTTTGAATTCCAAGAGCAAGCACCCCAAGAGAGAGAGAGCCTGACAAAAGCTGTATGATTATTTGTGACCTAGTCTCAGAAGTCACACAGCTTCCCTTTCACCACACTATATTGGTCTTGGCAGTCTCAAAGGCCCACTCAGTCTTAAGGTGAGGGAGTACAGACTTTACTTCTTAATGGGGGTGAGGCACACTATGTGGAGAGCATGTGGAATGGGATCTATCATGTCCATTTTTTGAAAATACAGTCTGCCTCAGTGAATTAGCAGATAACCAGTATCTTCTCTTGAACAGTTTAGGCTGGTTGTCCTCAAAAGGAAACAGGAAACAAAATCAAAATTAGGCTAACCACATTTTGGACTCTCTTTATTGAGGTTTTATGTAAGTCTGAT